TCGTCAGGTTTAAAGATATATGTCGTCGACAGTTTTTTTCTCCTTTTATTTAAAATTTGTCGTTAGTAATTCTAAATAAGAGTCTTACTTTGTACTCTAATTTGCCTTCTCCGGTTAAACTATCCGAGTAATTTAGGAATTTCTTCGTCAGTCTGAAACTTGTGTAGGACTTTAAGATATAATTATGGGAGTACTTTGTTTTGTAGATGAAAATGGAAAGGAAGGGGGTGGGGGTCGTTGGGGAAGATGACGGAGGGGAGGGGTGGGTTGGTAATATGTTTAGATCGTTTGTTTAGGGCTAGTTATTTGTATTTTAGTAAAAATAACACTATATAGCTGAGGTGGACAGTGAGGTGGACAAATAAAATGATGTGGCACGATTTATAATGGTTACTTTTGCCACGTAGACGGAAATTGCAGAACACATGCTTGGTTAATTAATAAACCAGAAAAAACGTGTCTTATTAGTATGAGAATTGCCTAGGAAACGTGTCTAATTGGAAAGAGGTCTAGTTTAAGTGTCTAAGTGAAAGATCGTGCTAACTTTAGGTGTCTCCGTATGTATTACACCTTAATTTATATATTGAAATATAATTTGAGCAGTATCATTTATTAGTTTTTGAAACACATATCCTGATTAATAGAGCTTTTGAGTTACTTCTCAAAGATGGGAAATTTTATAAGAAAATTCTTTGAAAATAATTGTCATATAATTCAATAATTAAATTAGAAAAATTAACCCAAGAGTAATAATAACTAATTGAATCAAACAAAATTATATAGTAATTAAGCTATTCTTTAAGAAAAATTTCTAATTGGAGGCATACTTTTATGAAATATTGTTTTTTTTTGTAATTTTATCCAAAAACATAATTAAATCAAGCATAAAAAAAGTTGAACTAAAATCGAACTCATTTGCCTTTTTCTAAATAAAAGTCCTAACTGGATCATCCATTCTTTCTATTCAATCTTTGTTGTTGAATCATATATATATATATATATATATACACATACTGGTACCCTTAATCTTCAAATTCTAGATCCGGTTCTGGTTTTGATGCCATGTTAAATTGATCAACTTGTTAAAATCTTAAGTTGTTAGAGAGAACACACTTTTATTTACTTGTTTATTTCTTCAACTTCAACTTCTTGATTTTGACTCTTGCGAATAGTATTGTCGCCAGCGCGCATAGTCAGTTAGTAACGATCAGGGAACTCCAATTTACAATGGCTTCTGTTTATCTAGTTAACCATATGTTCCATACAATTTATCTCTACATACTCTTTGATCCATGTTACAGAATGAACCTAGACATTTTACACAATAAATATAGACTATTTCTTAGTAGTGTACATAACCAATATATAGATAGCAAATTTGTAGGAATCTCTTTTATTTTCTTTCCTTAGTTAGCACCTGATGTACATGCATATATATGTATCACTACATGGAATAATACACCAATTTGATTCTTCCATACCTTGTTAATTACATGATATCAAATCCACATCTGTGGCTTCGCCGAAGTTGAGTTTGTCTCGTCGGAGTTGACCAAAACTTTCCAGCAGACATGTGAGGTGCGTGTGTGGTCCATTCTCTGTCCAACTTTGTTCTCCGAGATCAGCTTGATATTTTTGATTGATTGTTGGTTATCCTCTGATAACATAACCTTATTTTCGTGAAGAACAGACTCAGACAAGGTTGTATTACACCAATTTTGGTCAGGTTTGAGTTCTTCTATTGTTTGGTTTGTTTTTAGGATACTGAAGTAGTCGTGAAATAATATTCTTGCATCTAATTGCTTGTCTTGTGAATTTGTATTTGTTGAGTCTTTCTTGGAAGACGATTTGTTACAACTTGAGACTTGATATTATCTGTTGGGTCTTCCCTTATCAGAAACTTTGTTGGTCTCTGATTTTATTTGATTTGGAAAAATTTGTTTGGTTTCTGATTTGGTTTAGTGGATTATTAGAGTGGAGTTCTGTTAAATAGATTGTTGACTTCGTGTTTACTAGAGGTCTGTTTTGGTATCTTTTAGCTTTGGGAACGTCTGTTAATTTAATCGATTTGTTATTTAAAGAAAAAAATGATGGTAAAGAATAATAGTGAAACAACTCCTAATCCAGAAATCTTGGTTTCGGATGAGTTTCTAAAATTCCTTGAAAATCATAAATCAGTTAAGGAATCTTCTCCAGTTAATGCCTTTGTTGGATCAGATAAAACATGTCTTATCACATCTTCCAATAAATGGGTGATCGATTCAGGTGCTACAAATCACATGACATGTAATCCAAATATTTTTTCTAGCTTTCGCTCACATAAAGCACCCTCTCCAGTTACTGTAGCTGATGGATCAACTTGTAGCAATGTTGGATCTGGGACTGTCAAACCAACTTCCTCTATTACCCTGTCTTCTGTATTAAGTCTACCAAACTTGGCCTTTAACTTGATTATTGTTAGTAAAATCACCAAAGACTTTAATTGTTGTGTTGCATTCTTTCCCGATCATTGTTTATTTCTAGATCTTACAACAAAAATAGGTTATTAGTAAAGGATATTTATCTGGTGATCTCTACATCCTTGATGAGTGGGAGCCATTGTCTATTGCATGGTCTAGTGTTGTGTCTCCCTTTGAAGCACATTGTCGATTGAGACACCCCTATCTCCCTTTGTTGGAGAAGCTTTGTCCTCAATTTCAGAATATTTCTTTATTGGATTGTGAGTCATGTCGATTTGCAAAACACCATCGCATCTCGATAAGTCCAAGGGCTAATAAACGAGTTGAGTCAGCTTTTGAGTTAGTTCTTTCTGATGTTTAGGGACCATGTCAAGTTGTTTCCAAAATTGGGCATAAGTATTTTGTCACATTTGTAGATGATTTTTCTCGAATGACTTGGATTTACTTTATGAAGAGTCACTCTGAAGTGTTTACTCACTTTTCTGCCTTCTGTGTTGAAATCGAAACTCAATTTAACTATTTGGTGCGTATTCTAAGGAGTGATAATGATAAAGAATACATGTTAGAGTTATTTTAGTCGTATATGAGATAACATGGTATTCTACATCAGTCTTCATGTGTTGATACACGCTCTCAAAATGCAGTAGCTGAGAGGAAGAATAGGCATCTACTTGAGACAGCTCGGGCACTTTTGTTCCATATGAAGGTTCCTAAATAGTTCTGGGCTGATGCGGTCTCTACGACTTGCTTTCTAATTAATCACATGACATCTACTGTGTTTGGTGGTAATATGCCTTACAGTGTCCTTTTTCCAAACAAGGCATTATTTCTGGTGGAACCTAAGGTATTTGGAATCACATGTTATGTACGAGATATTCGACCATCTATTACCAAGTTGGATCCCAAGGCATTGAAGTATTTTTTCCTTGGCTATTCTTGCCTTCAGAAGGGTATCAGTTTTATTCTACTAAACTTGGTAGTGTCAACTGATATGGTATTTTCAGATACTACACCATTCTTCTATGCACCTCCCATTTTTACAAATCATGGGGAGGAAGATGAGTGGCTAATATATCAGGTTACTCGTACTTTGACAGAAAAACGAGATGATGTTCCTCCATCTCCTAGTTCTATCGAGCAATAATCCATTATTCTGCCTTCAGCATCTGCTCCAACTATGTTAGCAAGACTGCCAATTGTCCAAGTTTACTCGCGAAGGCAACAGACAAATGATACATGTTCTGCACCAGTTCCTTCGTCATCAGTTTATTCATCATCTGATTTGCCTCCACCTGACCCTCCGGAAAAAACATGACCTTCCAATTGCTCTTCGCAAAGGTATACGCACTTGCAAATCCACATATTCTATTGCTAATTTTGTTTCATACGTCCACTTGTCCCATGCATCTAGACCTTTAATTGTGTCTCTAGACTCTGTTTCTATACCCAAAATGGTGAAGGAGGCTTTGAATCATCTTAGATGGTCTGAAGCAATGTTTGAGGAAATACATGCCTTAGAGAAAAACCACACTTGGGATTTAATGGATTTACCTAGTGGAAAGAAAGTAGTGGGATACAAGTGGATCTTCACGGTTAAAGTTAATCCTGATGGCTCTGTGGCGAGACTTAAGGCCAGACTTGTGGCTAAGGGGTATGCTTAGACTTATGGGGTGGATATTCAGACAGCTTCTCTCCAGTTGCCAAACTTACTTTTGTCCACTTGTTTATTTCTCTAGCTGCTTCTGAGAATTGTCATTTGCATCAATTGGATATTAAGAATGCTTTTCTTTATGGTGATCTCTATGAAGAGGTATATATGCAGCAACCACCTGATTTTGTTGCTCAGGGGGAGTATGGCAAGGTCTATCATTTGAAGAAATCTTTATATGGCTTGAAACAGAGTCCCCGGGCTTGGTTTGGTAAATTTAGTGAAGCAATTCAAGAATTTGGGCTGAAAAAGAGCAAATGTGATCATTCTGTCTTCTACAAGCAATCAATAGCTGGATCTATTCTCCTTGTTGTATATGTGGATGACATTGTTATCACAGAGAGTGATTATGTAGGAATCTCTTCTCTCAAGTCTTTCTTGCATACTAAGTTTCATTCAAAAGACTTGGGACAACTGAAATACTTTTTGGGAGTAGAAATAACTAGAAGCAAGAAGGGAATTTTTCTATCTCAAAAAAAGTATATTCTTACTAGCAGAAACTGGTAAGCTGGCTGCCAAACCTTGCAGTACTCCAATGCTTCCTAATTTGCATCTTATGAAAGATGATGGCCATCCATTTAATGATCTAGATAGATACAGGAGGTTAGTTGGGAGAATAAACTATCTCACTGTGACTCGTCCAGATATTGCTTTTGCAGTGAGTATGGTTAGCCAGTTCATGTCCGCGCCCACAGTTAAACATTGAGAGGCTTTGGAGCAGATCCTATGTTACTTAAAAGGAACTTCTGGACTTGGCATATTATACAGCAATCATGGTCATTCTCGCATTGAATGTTTTGCAGATGCAGATTGGGCTAGATCCAAGATTGATAGAATATCTACTACTGATTACTGTGTATTTGTGTGGAAACTTGGTATCATGGAGAAGAAACAAAATGTTGTATCTAGGTCTAGTGTAGAATCCGAGTATAGAGCTATGGCACAATCAACATGTGAGATAATGTGGATACATCACCTTTTAACTGAAATTGGGTTGAAGATCCTACTCCATCAAAACTCTCGTATGATAATCAAGTTGCACTCCATATTGCCTCAAATCCAGTGTATCATGAAAGAACCAAATATATTGAAGTTGGCTGTCATTTTATTCGTGAGAAGATTCAGGAGAACTTGATTTCCACTGGCTACGTGAAGATAGGAGAGCAGCTAGCTGATTTGTTCTCTAAAGCATTGAATGGCACTCGAGTTGATTACCATTGTAACAAGCTGGGCATAATCAATATATATGCTCCAGCTTGAGGGGGAGTGTTACAGAAGGAACCTAGATACTTTACACAATGAACATAGACTGTTTCTTAGTGTACATAACCCATATATAGATAGCAGATTTGTAGAAATCTCTTTTATTTTCTTTCCTTAGTTAGCACCTGATGTACATATATATATGTATCACTACATGGAATAATACACTAATTTGATTCTTCCATACCTTGTTGATTACAATCCAAAATTGGACTAAAGAAACAAAAGGGGGGAAAAAGAGAGAAGACGGGAGAAAGTATGCAAAAAATACATGAAGTATCAAGTTTGAGGAGCTTTTCATGCATTTTTACCTCTCCAGTTCTTGTTTGCAGAGAGGGCAGCAAGATATAATTCTAAGCCATTGGTCCACACACTTAAGATGAAATATATGAGAACAAGGTAATTGTCTGATCTCTTCCTTATCTCCGTACTTTGCTAAGCATATACAACATTCCTGTTGTGACACAAAAACTTGTTTAGACTTTGATTTTAACTTTTTATATTGATAGTATAATTACAAAAAGGTCACCTAAACGATATTATAGGAAAGTATCTATAAAAATTAAGATTTTTTATCTTAAAAATAAGTCAGATTATACAATAATAAACATAAACTATTTAACTTATAAGTGTATAAGTTATATAATCTTTGGACTTTGGGTTTAACGTTTATACATTAATAATTTTTAAAAAAATTATACGATTAGGTCCCCTAAAACATAACTAGGTCATCTTTTATGATAGGTTAAAATACAGTTGTAAAACTTTTTTACACTATCGGTATAGATAAGTTAAATATTTAGACTTTGAGTTTAACTTTATGCATTAATAGTGTAAAAGAAACTTTCCCGGATTAGATTATGTTAAAGATAACGACAAGTAACCATTTATTAAGATTGAGATTTCTAGCTTGAAAATATAAGGCAAGCTACCTGTTACGACATGTTATGTGTATTTAAAAAAATATTATACTGCTATCAATGCAGATAAGTTAAATTTTTAGATTTTTAATTTAATTCTATAAATTGATATCATAAAAAAATTTGACACTAAGATCACTTACCACATTTTCACTTGTGGGTTGTTCCTTGTTTCCACATTCCTTGTACTTCCAACTGGGTAGACTGGAGAGTTGTTCATCAGAAGCCCCTCTATCTACGGATCCCATGTTCATGTTGTAGCCTAAAAAGCTACTCAGAATTGGGACACAGCAGCACAACAATAGAAACAATAGGAAGGGGAAAGAGTAGGTGACAGCATTCCAAGCTAGCAGTGAGATGCAGAGCAAGTGAAGTTTAGGAGCACGATGGTAAGATAAAAAGCGCGATTCGAACACCCAAACATTTCCCATCACAAACCATATGGCAAAGAATAGCTCAACACCAGTCCTGAATTTCTCCATCACATGCAATGCCCTATCATATTGTTGAAATTTACAAGTCTTAGTTTTATAGTATTTATTATGCTTAAGGAAGAAATCCCACATATTTTTGCAGAACATCTAATATTTCATATGATCATAGTCTGACAATTAGAGCGTGGATAACATAAAACTTAGATGATCAACTATTCGTCTTGCAGTTTCCTGCCTCCTCCAAATGTTTCTCTCGTTGTTTTGCGATCTCCTTTTTGGCTTAACCTTGCATTATTATTATTTTCCAGGAAAAGGTCCAAATTTGTCCTTGTATAATTCAAAATTGTTCAATTTTATGTTCCAGTTAGTTTTGGTACATTCATACCCTTGTCTTTCGGAAAAATTCTCAGAATATGCACCCTTGACTCCTAAAGGTCTCTAGCATAAAATATGCGGACTCCCCACGTACCCAAATACTTCGAGAAAAAAGGTTTAAATTTTTATATATATTTTCAACTATGGTTTAAAATTATATTTAGGTTAGAACTCCTTAGGGATCAAGGGTAAATACGAGACTTTCAACCATGGGTATATGAACGGACCAGTTGAGTTAAACAGAGGGTAAGATTTAGCATTTTCAATTAACATCTTTTTCACATCCCCACTCGAGTAACATTCAACCCTTCAAATGTACAAGCACTATCCCAAATATCTTTGTATTAAACCCAGCCCAACATTGTCACAAGTAAGCCACTTAGTTTTCTTAATGCTTCTCTATCACATTTCACGATTGTAAATCCGTTTGACATATTCGAGTTTTGGATGTTAGGCATCCTTGGACAAAAATAGTACTTATCAAAACTTCAAGAGTAGAGACAGCTAAAACGGACAGGATAATGTGTACTAATTAATCACCTGGATTCATCATGGCTTCTTTGTTGCTCCATGTCAGAATCATCTCTTTGTGGCCTCACATAGAACGCCCAGTAGCGCCAGTAAAGCAACATGACACTAATAATACAGCCAAAGGCATATCCCAACACCCATATCCTCATTGGCCAAACTGGCTTCTCTTCCTTTGAAACAGTCAGTGTATATGAGGCTATAATTATTTGGACACTTAATGCAATGCACTCCATCATCATCCAAGTCATTGAATTGAAGGGATTTGATCCAAGATCAGATCTTGAGCCATTCTGGTAGTGGAAAACCCTTCTTAGGAAACTAAACCACCTTGATCTTGATATTCTCATGGACATTCTTATTAAGAATGAAGAATGGGAAATATTCCGAATAGACCTGTTTCTAGTTCCTCCCCCGCTAGACATTCTTCCATCTCCTGCTGCTGGTGAAATCATTGGTGGGAAAGATACAATAATGCTCGAATGACAAAGCGACACTGGTGTAAGAAAGTATCGTGTATTCATCGGGCAATAATATTTAGTATGGACCTGATCGATCTGTATTTAATATGATTAATATGCTACTATAACAAGTAAAATTACAGTAATTGTGTGAACATTCTTTCCACCGTCAGTGTATATAACTTAAATTCTTACCGATTGTCAACAGGGAGAAATTTCCAAGAACTTTCAACTTCTACGCATGCAAGTTATGTTTCGTTTTAGTAACTGCATGCACAAGACACCTTGTGAGTGTGCACAGAATTCCCATGCTTGAAATGATCTAGCACCAGCTAATTATTCAACCTATTTTATGGTCGAATTTCAGCGTCACAATTTATATGCTGACAACTATTTTTGAAAAACAACCTCCAATGCCATATTTCAAGAGCTTCAACAGCAAGGATACCTGATAAATGAAGTGGTTGTACTATAAAAGTATGATAATGGTGAAAGAAAATAGATACAGAAAGATATATGGAAATGGGAATAAAAGGGAATGCTTAAGAAGAGAGAGGTGATGGGGTGGAACCAACTTGACAGGGGAATCTGTTGAAGTTGGGTTCAGATGGTGACCAAGAATCGAACAGCTTTACTTTGATTTCAAGTGAACTTTTATGAGATGGTGAGAACCATAAACATTTTGCCTAACTTCCTGTGACATTAATTTTCTTTTCTTTTTGTTTATTTAGGAAGCAAAGTAAAGCTGAAAGTTTGTAGTTCTTCAAAAAATGGACATATTGAATCTAATTCTGTGTTTCGAACCTAAGCTGAAAGTTTTAGAATCTAATTCTGTGTTTCGAAGCCTCAAATATCTCATTTTAGCCTTTTTCGATTTGCGTACGCAGTCCATTTTTTTCCGGAAGGCTTATATGTTAAAATCTGATAAAAAATAAAATTTTGCCTTAAAAATCCATTTGAGTTACTTCAGTCAATGTTTTGAGCAAACGGACCCGAATCTATATTTTGACGATCCCGGTGGGTCCGTATCGTGATCTGGGACTTGGGTATGTGCCCGGAATCGAATTTAGAGGTCCCTAGCTCGAGTGATCGTATTTTGTTGAAAACTTGAAGTTTGAAGGCTTAATGAATCTAAAAGTTTGACCAATGTTTGAATTTATTGATACCGGATTTGTATTTTAGTTTCGGAATCCGGTATAGGTCCATTACTATATTTATGACTTGTCTGTCAAATTTGGTGAGAAACGGAGTCGGTTTGACGTGATTCGGACGCACTGTTATTAAAATAGCAATTCTAAAGTCCTCTTGAAAACCCATTTGATTTTGGTGTCCGATTCATAGTTCTAGGTGTTATTTTGGCGATTTGATCGCGTGAACAAGACAGTATGATATTTTTGGACTTGTGTACATGTTTGGTTTGGAGCCCTCAGGGCTCGGGTGAGTTTCAGATAGGCTATGAAGTGAATGTGGACTTAGAAACATAGCTGGTACCGATTAATTTGTGGTGTCTGCTGCAGATCTCACATCTGGCTCGCATTTGCGAAGAAACCATCGCACGAGCCTGCACATGGCATGGGGTACTCGCATTTGCAAGGTAAAAGTTCACATTTGCGAACTTGTCATTTCCGTTTTTGTGAAGGTAGAGTCGCATTAGCGACTCAACACCTTTTGTGATGATCTTCGCATTTGTGAGGGCATCAGGGTTCGCATTTGGGACCATTTTATCGCAAATGCGATTACTGGGATTCTGAGAGGAGTTCGCAATTGCGACCTCTTTCTCGCAATTGCGAACAAGATATTGCAATTACGGCATATGCAACTGTGTAAAAGTTGAGTTAGACGAGATTTCTCTCATTTCTTCAAAATTTCAAACCTAGAGAACCCTAGAGGCGATTTTCCCAAGAGTCCTTCTTCTCCAATCCATTGGTAAGTGATTCTAACTTATTTTCTTTCAATCTTTCATTACAATTGTTTTTCATGGTGGAAATTAGGGGTTTGGGTAGAATTAGGGATTTTTGTAAAATTAGGATTTAGACCTCAAATTGAGGTCGGATTACAAAACAAATTACATAACCGGGCTCGGGAGTGAATGGTTAATCGGGTTTTAGTCCAAATTTCGGGTTTGGACCAAGCGGGCCCGGGAGTTGACTTTTTTAATAATGACCTAAATTGAATCTTTTGCAATCGTGGGTAGTTCCTAAGGCTTAATTTGAATCGTTTGGTTGGTAATTTTCAAGATTTTGTTGGTTCGGAGGCTTGTTTGAAAGGCAAAGTTGTGGTTGAGCCTTGAGTTAATTTTTGGAGCGAGGTAAGTATTGTGGTTAACCTTGATTTGAGAGAATTAGGAACCCTCGGACTATGTACTATGTGAATTTCATGTGTTGCGGCGTATATGCGAGGTGACGAGTGCTTATACGCTGTCGAATTACTTGTTTCCCTGAATTTCCTGCTTTTCCTTAATTTCCCCCTTCCCTGCCTTAATTGTTATGTGCCCTAAATGCCTTCCATGCTTTAATTGTTACTTGTCAATCACTGTTTCTCCTGTTAAAATGTTAAGACCTCTTCATGTTTTCATGACTTGCTGCTATTTGCCCTAATTGACATATTTGTCCCTTCTAATTGTCATTTGTTGGACTGTCTCGCCATGTAGTATTTCATACGTAGATTTCCAAGTTGGTACAAGGTTTACTTCCTGTTTCAGCTTTATATTCATTAGTTTTGGTGGTTCTTATGATTTGAATTACTAATTTGACTGTGCTCATTAGGTATTTGGTACTGATATGGTGGGATCAGGTTGCACGCCGCAACAGGTAAAATAAGGGTGGATTGATATGGTGGAATAATTGTGGATTTATACTAATACAATGGGATCGGGTTGCACGCCACAAGAGATGGAATAAGGGTGGATTGATACGGTGAAATAAGGGTGAAATGTGATACTGATATCGTTATATGGTGGGATCGGGTTGCGCACCGCAACATTTATTTATTTTGATTGTTGATATTGTTACGGTGAAATAAGGGAGAATGTATTGAACAGTGGAATCGAATTGGACGCTTCAATAACCTATGTGTTTCTATTTCTTTAAGTTGTGTTGGTTTTCGGTATTTTCATTGGAAACTCTAAGGATTGGTAATTCTGAACGTCACTAGCTTATTTCTTGAGGATGTAGCTAATATCTTCAATTGGTTGTCTTATTTCATTCCATATTTCCTTTTCTGTGTTTATTATATATTGTGTACAGTTTGTTGTGTGAGTGACCTGCCTTAGCCTCGTCACTACTTCGTCGAGGTTAGGCTCGGTACTTACAGAGTACATGGGGTGAGTTGTATTCATACTACACTTTGTACTTCTTGTGCAGATTTTGAAGTTGATCCCAGCGGCGGTTATTAGCGTGCTCGGATTGAATAGCTTGTGGATACTTGAGGTACAGCTGCTCAGCGCCCGCAACTCCTGGAGTCTCCTTCCATTTTTATTTAGCTGTGTACTTTCCATTCAGACAACTTTATGTTATTTTAGACCCGTATTTGCACTATTCTAGTAGCTCGTGCACTTGTGACACTGGGTCCAGGGTTGTATCAGACGTTTGGCTGTTTTAGCTTCTGTATTTTACTTTGGATTATTGCAGTTATTTCAGTTCTTTCTCATTAATTAGTTTTAAAACTATCAAAAATGGATAAAATGTTCTAACGTTGGCTTTCCTAGCAAGTGAAATGTTAGGCGTTATCATAATCCTGGCGATGGGAATTCCGGATCGTGACACATATACGCACGAATTGAATTGAATTAGAACATCGGCAAAAGATAATTTACTTTTCTGACGTTAACCAATGGTTGGAGCCAGACTTTTTACTAAGGGAATCCAAATATAAAGAAATCTACACAATATAATTTATGACACACTTTGGACAAGGGTGGCTCTGCCACTGGTTAACGCTTGTAAGGTCCATTTTAATTTTTAATTATAGAAATGCTAACTGATTATTCGGATAGCTATATTATTTGGGGAGTTGTATTTAATTTGATAAAAAAGTATTTTGGAAATGATAAGGAGTAACAATAGTTAACGGATCGACTATCATTTGGATAGCAACTTTAGGATAGCAGATGGCCACCATATCAAAGTAGCAGTAAAAAACAACTTTAGCATCTGTGGCCAGCCCCTGTCAGAGCTGGTACTTTGATACGTGCAAAATAACTAAATCCTAGTTCGGAGTACTTTCCCAAACATACCATATAACAATTTGCATTCATATATATTTTCAGATTATGTTTATTTAGGAACGCTTGAAGGGATTCTCTAAGCTAGGATATTTCTGAATATTTGTCATTCGGACATGCTCAATCGACACAGATATTCTGACTTGTATATCTATAGGAACCCTCGAACTTGTAATATCCTACTAAAAGAATTCCCTACTTTGTTCTTGGCTCGCGAAAAAGTTTTTACCCTTTTAAAGGTTATAAACAAAAAAGACAAAGCTTTGTCGCTCTTGGACATCAGCAATCACTAGATGTCGAAAGAACAACTTGTTTCGACTCGAAATTTATGATGCTTCGGTTTAAAGATTTCATGGTTTTTGCAGAAAAACTATAGAGCGCTGGAGGGCCATGGTTGGTAGTTGGTAGGGTAGACGTATCAAAATTACATTATTTTGACATCCGTCTATCCTCAATTGTGCCAGTCTATATGCGTAGCATCAATAGGTTGGATCGTCAGCCTCACTAGCTAGTTGAAACCTTACATGGCTTCTCCTTACGCCGCAAATTATCCTACTTTAATTTTTGATCTTTTTGTTTTCTTTCCATCATTCCAACCTCCTAAATTATCATCTTTTTGCCATGGTTTTCTGTTTTAAAAAGGCTCTCACTAAGAAAAAATAAACTAAACTAATATTTTATTTCGGTTTGATGAATAGTTTCGTCTAGTTACGAACCGTAAAACTGAACAAAGATTTTGAGAAGTGTTGGTTGGCATTACCTTGGTACCGAAGTAGGAAGACATCTTGTTGTCAATTATGGCAACCTAGCCAGGTAGAAAATAATTGTACTCTATCTCTAAAGTATGGCACGTTGCCTAGTTTTCACACTAGCTATTCTCAACGAGCCACATTTTTGGAAGGCAAAAAAAGACATTTTAACTATTGAGTTACTTTTTCCTTCCTCTCTTTTTATTTAAATAGATTTCGGAAACTGCCTGGTTTTCTTTGTAGCATGGCCTGGACATAAGTCTGATACAGAATATATGCAGAAAGTGTTGCCGCATCTTTTTATGCAGAACGCAACCTACTTATTAATGTTCATGTTCTAGCAATTAGTCGGCCCAGTGGTTACTTGGAATGGCAGAATCATAGACCCGTTTGTTAATTTACCAACCGTTTCTTCTTTCTTGATTGCTACGATCAGAGAGAATATTGTTATGATATTTTCCAGGAAGAAGATGAGCAGATGCATACCATATTTAAGAAGACTTGACAACAAGTTAAGCACAAGTAATTCTCTCCTGATATCAAACAAATGTT